GAAAAATACTCAGAAGTGTTGGCACATCTTGACCCATCTGTGCAAGTTATTTATATTTATTTTGCTCCCACCTCTCATACCTTTTAGAGTGAGCTGATCTTATTGAGCTAATCCGTGGATTGTGGGTGCGTGTGCTGAGGGTTTGATTTATTCAGAGTCCAGGTCCACCACTGATTCACTGGCGAGGCCTCCCCTTCCCCCACCATATCTTTGCTGTTGTATAGCTCTGAACCCTGACCTAACAGCGCAGCAAGACTTCCTCTTAAATTACTGATCATTTGAATTGAAGTGAGCTTGTTTTTTATGTGTGTGTGTGCACATGCACAGTTGTGTATAAAAAATGATGACATGAATTATTTAAGGAGACAGTTTTCTAATACTCATTGAATATTCAGGATGATGCTTTTACTATCAAGTCTGAGCTCATAAATCAGTCTCAACACTAACAAGTGCTATTAGGAGATGCTTTAGATCATGATACGTAGAAAACTGAAAGTGTGAAAAGGACAGATGAGGAAAGATGGAATCATTACTGATCATTACAGAGAAAGTTTGTCAAGGTCAAGTGTAACTAAAGTGATACAGACTTGAAACAACACAATCTGTTTGCATGAACTGTGCAAACCAGCCTTAGGGCATGGACGCCAGTAGACGGGTTAAAGACACTAACAAAATGTATCACCAACTCATCAAAAACAGCGTTTCACATTATCAAAGTTAATCATTTAGAAGTTTACAGACTCTGCTGTTACACATTTCCTGGGTAAAATTGCACTTTAGCAATATCATATGGTTCCCAGTTTTATTAAATGGTGCATTTCCTCTGATTACGATGGCAGCAACCATGGACATGATCTAAACAATAAGTAACTCAAATATAGGTTTTATTTGCTAAGATTAGCCTCCTCCAAGACGTGTCACATACAGACTTTGGAGGCTGGGCAAAGGAAGCAAGTTTTTTTTTTCCTCAAAGCCTTTGTCATAACCAGTGTCAAGCTTGAATAAACATTTTAGACAATAACTTCTACATCCTCCTGCAACCAAGCCAAGCATCTCTACTTCCCCTGTCAGTGTAAATCTGAAGGGTGACACAGAGCACAAGTAGACAACTGTCAAAAAGTCAGCAAAATGACTTAGTCATGTATCTAAAGTTTGCCAGCATTAGCATTAAAAGCTAACAAGCCAGACCAAGTAAGGCGGTAGCAGCAAACCTGACTGTACTGAAGAATAAAGTGTGTTTTTCTGCCGTTGATTTTTGGTTTGTAAGAAGAGAAATTTCTTACTGTAGTTCATCTTTCAAAAGTTAGTCACATCACTGATTTATTATAGTGATTTTCAAATTACTTAGGCCACAGTCAGTATAAACAATATGCAAATATCCCTTCAAGCAGCACCGAGTCTGTGACACTGAATTCATGTTGACGGGTGTCTAGGAACATGTTGATCATTTAGTTTCATATTTTACAGCGTCTTTGTGTTGCTGAATCACCTCCCTGTTAAGCAACACAGAAGAAGACAAAATAAAGAGCGCTCTGGCACTTGTTTTGACTCGCAGCATCCAGTAAAAGGAAAGAGGCAATTACAGGAGAGAACCCACAAACACTTTGTGAGGGATCTCTAGTAGTTTCCATGCACCAAGCAATGCAGCATTTCATATAATAAACATTTTATATAACTGGACTCCTAAACTTTCTGTATTGTTTTTACCACTGAGGCACCCTGTATTTAAGAATCAGTAAAAAAAATTTAAAACAGACTGTCAGGGACCAAGCAGTAAGGCAAAAGACACAGCTTTCAAAGTTCAAAATAAAGGGTTTTTTATTAACCCAAAAGCAAGAAAAATACAAAATTAACATCAGATAAATTGGGCCCTAAAAGAGGTCAACAAAAGATAAGGAAACTCAAAATACAGCAAACTGACCAATCTCAGCAAAACCAACTGACCTAGCAAATGACACACACACAGGGGAACATATATACTGGCTGATCAAACCAATAACACACACAAGGGGTAAACTAAAGACACTACCAAAGCAATCAACTAATAAAACACTAAACAGACAGCCTGCTCTCAACTAAATATTTCCTTTAAATATAAATTAACATAACTTGACAAATAAAGTTCTAACATAAACTACCAACAAATAAACAATAAATTTCTCCCAAACTCCCCCCTTTCTTGTATTGGGCACTTGGTGCAGTCCAGGCCTAGTGGGAGGTATTTAAACCTGCTGCTTCCTCAGTTGTGTATGTCCAATACAAATTCCCCACCCAAGTCTATGGCTGGTGGTGGTTTAGGCCCTCACATGGTGAAGGCCAGGACTGAGGCCTTCACACAGACACTGATTGCAATTTAATGCAAAGATCAAGAGAAACTAGAAGATGTAGTTTCTTGTTGTTGACTTTAAACTGAAATGTTAAGTATGTGAAGATACGTAGCGGAGATTGGAGTCAGTTTAAATGGTTCGTACATGTAACAAAATTTAACGCCTGTAAGGGTTGAGGGCAATTTGAAGATACTGAGCATAAAAATAACAGCAATAACATAAAGTTTAAGATAAATAATAGATGAAGAACTTCATTTTAAAGAAGTAGTCCCGTATAATATATATCAGTTGTTCCAAGTCCATTTTGCATGGTTAGCTTCTTGACGATGCACATTTGAGAATCACTGGTCTGTGGGGGCCCATCTAAGTTTCCAGAGGTTATTAACCTGATGTCCTGTGGACCCTAAAGGATTCAGGGGAAGACTCGATGTTTTAGACCCTACTTCCTCCTCCAACATCTCAGGAGGCCCACCCAGGCCTGGCAGCCCCTCAAAGACGCCCTTCTTTTGCCCTGTGCCCCTGGAGAGGGTGGCCCCCACCAGTTATGCAAAGTCAACAAGCCCTAATTGTAGGATCGGCTTACAAGCTAAGTTTTTCTTGAGCCCATTAACAACTGCAGTTAATTATAAGTCAAGTGGAGGTGTGTGAGTGTAAGTGACAGCAAAAGGAGGCGATAGAGAAACAGCAGAAGGAAAAAAATGTCTTGAAACATTTCAAAATATATCAGCGATACAATACACACACACACGCACACAGACACATTAGCCTTTTGAGGAGGACCTCCCACACTACAGTAAATCTCTTCTTCATTGGGCTTTGTGTCAGGGATTTGCTGCAGTGAAGGAGAGGATCAGAGCACTGACTCACAGATTGTCAGAGTCACAATCAGACCAATTTCCCTCCAGCTTCAATGTGTCAGCTTGACAACAGGATCTATCTGCCCTCTAATTACACTCTCGGACAGCTCAGTGCATATTAATACAAATAAAGAGTGTTATGAGGAAGTGAGCCATCAGACTATAGCAAAAACAGGTTCAGTAAGTGAAAGGTGGCAGTTTGGTATGATGGGTATTACTGACCATGACAGTTGTTGGCAGCAAGTCAACCTTGTCTTTCCTTAGAAATCCGGCTTCTCAAATGTACACAGACAAGCAGGCATATAATTAGTTCATTTTATTTTAAAATCCAGCCTTAAAGACATGTTCTGATCGTTTTATACACAGAAAGACAAGTCGTTTGCCAACTGTCCTCCAACTTTTTCTACTGGGTAGCAAGTCCCAGCAAAGGTAGTCCATGTAGCAGCACTGAGCATCACTCTTTGTGATACGACCAGTGTATCTGTTATTGCTTCACCGGCTTATGTCTAAGCTCTAGACTTCCTCAGTATTCCAAATGACTCATCAAATGTTTGATTCAACTTCAGCTGCATCAAAACAAGTAGGAAGAAGACAAAAGCAGTGAACAGAGGCACAATCGGGCCTCGTGGCTTTAAGCCTGCTTTATTGAATTTTCTGTTGTCTTTATGAAGGCCAGGCTAAGACTGGGCAACAGGTGCCAATCTCAAGTGGGACGAGCATTAGGATGTTCCCTTTGACCCCGGAGGGATAATGAACAGCTGTGGTGTCTGGGTGTAGGGGGAAGGGGTGTGTGTGGAATGAATGGATTGACATAGTTCACCAGGTTACAGACACACTGTTTCCAGGTCAACACAATAGACAAGTCAGACATAGATAGACAGATAGATGGCTAAATGCAAAGGTAATTGTAGCTGTTCCAAACAACCACAGATGCACTGCAGATGAAAAACCTGTAGTGACTAAAGCTAAAAATGCAGTGGTTTTGAAAGTTTTTAAAATTCTCGGACATGTCCCCCCATAGTGTCAGTGTCAGTAAGGTGTGGGTGGAGGGGTTTCCACATGATGACCAACTGGCAAACACCTCTTTTGAAGCATAGTGATGTTATGAATTTATACACAACTGAGTCATCTGTTTGACAGCAATGTTCCTGTTGTTGTGCAGCAGAGCAGACAGGCCTGCACACATTCATAAACTAGTCATTCTTCTAACTGTATTGCATACTTGAATACTTGTGAAAGTTAATTTTCGCGGTTCATTCCCCCTCTAGGTGGATTTTAGGAACATGTTTTCAGATTGTCATTAGGGATGCCAATGATCACAAGTTGGAATATTTCTAAATCCTTTCTGAGGGTGCCCTAATTTTAAAAAAAAGATATTTACTCTTTTGATGCCGCAGTGATTGTAACCTTTAACTCTAATGGACCTCTAGAATAAATTATAAAAAATGAATGGGTAAATGTGCAGAATAATAGAAATATATCAGGTAACAATCAAGTCAAACCAAGTGTTTCTGCACATGAACTTGGCACAAGGGTCTTGCCAGACCTGTCCGTTAGAGTATGTTATACTGTACAAAAAAAGGTGCACCAACAGAGTTGGACTGTCTTATATGTGTCGACTTGGTCCACATGGCAAAAAGAGAGATGCAAGTGGAGCAAGCAGCATGTTTTTGGATGTGTTTATCAACGATACCCGAGGAAACAGCAGAGCAAATGGCTGGCACCGTTCTCTGTCTGTCTCTCTCCTACTCTCACTCTCTTTTACTCACTTGTGCTCTCCTCACCCCTACACTATGTCTCCTTCTTTTCCAGCTGCAGATGAGGAAAACCCCTAACCAGTTGGCCAGGGAGCCTGTCAGCCAGTGGGTCAGTCAGTCTGCTCCACAGAGGGGCCTGCCAATCATCTACTGGCTCTTCTTATGCTGTTCTGCAGGAGTCTTTCCATTGCACAAGCACCATGATGTACCTTCTGGGGTTAAACCAATACATGTCAGAAGGTCAGCACCATTTTAAGTAGATTTCTTCAGTACACTGACTAGAGGTAAGGCTACTCTACACACACACACACACACACACACACACACATGAATCACCACTCCAAAACGCCCTTTGCCCCTCCCATCATGTACTGTTTCTTAGCTATAACATAAACTAAAGATGCCTAGTTGTGATAAACTGTGTAAAATGCGTCCTCCAGTCCGAAGCATGCGTTATCTGACTAAAGAGTACATTTGGCAATCCATTAGAACGCAATGGTTATTGTTAATGTGGCACAAAGCACTGATGTTACACAAAGCTCAAATTACTCCAAAATTAAAATAGTATGAATTCAGTCCAAAGATAAAATGATGACCACGATAGGGTCCTAATGTTACCAATACAAATACGTTAGCTAGAGATGTTAATTAATGCACCTCTCACTTTCCGTCTCAGAAAGCCAAACTGATGTTAACCCTGGTTTTTGGTCTTTCTTTGTGCCGCTCTCTGGCTGTTTGAAATGACTACTCGCAGTTTGAAAAAAGCTTTTTACAAGCTTTGTTAGGTGGCAGGAGGGCCTGATTTACAGACTGTATTTTCATAACACAGTTTAAAAAAATGTAGTATAACAAAGGAAGAGCTGTGGGTGGCAGAGCGACCTGTAAGAGGGTAGTATAGCTGAGAAATACCACGTCCTGTTCCATTTGATTTATCAAACAATGTGTAAAATCTAATAATGCACCATTAATATTTCAGTTTGTGCTAATTTCATGAAGTATCATTAGATATAATGAGGGTAATAGCGCCATGTTAACGTCATTATTTGTTTTAGTCAGCCACATCTAAACCAACAGTTGATGCAATTTTCAGCCTGGAGTTGTGTTTGCAGCTGTGCACACAATATATACAGCACATCTGTGTGTATCCATTTCTCTGTGTACTGATCACCTTTCTTCATCAAAGGGAGATTTGCATAGTACATATGCCCTGCTTTATTATCTTAGATACACTCAGCAGCGTAATAATATTGTTACGGGAGAATATTACAGATTCTCCACCTGGCTTTTTTCAAAGACTTTTGTAACACTAAGTTATGTATGTGCTGCTATTACTGCAGTGTCAGTGAGGTCATACAGTATGTGATGCTGTTTCAAAGCCATCTTTAACACAGCTAAAGATAGTTCCCTTATCTTTGGACTAAAAACTATCAAATTTTAGAATATTGAGCCTAACAAGACAATCGGCCTTAAAAAAACTTACCAAGTGTAATCTGGGTGTGATTTCTACAGTGTCAGTGCTCAGACATGACCTGCGTGTCATTTATGATAGCTACGCCTTTGTTTGAGGGGAAGAATCATCATTCTTTTCAGTCCAGATTATGCTAAAAATGACCAGTAATATGTATGAAATACTATTGTTGTCATGGAATATGGCTGACAGATATAACACAAATAATTGAAAATGAAATAAAAAATTGTTAACAAACAAAGGGCAAGAATAAAACCAGCAGTAAATAAAACTATAATTTGTTTGTGAAAATCAATGAGCGCTTTACCTGTGAGATTTTTAAAAGGAAGACTAATAATACCCACGACTGTGCTGCTGTGAAGGCTAAATTCTGTGGTAGTTTTCTTATTAAAAGCAAAAAACCCTAAATAACTACCTAAACCTAAAAACAGTGAGCACAGTCATCAAAATCTTTTCATCATTTATTACTCATTCAGATTACTATAAACCTATGAAAAAACATGAATGACATCAGAGCTGTAGTTGGTGTTGTTTTCATAATAATATTAGAGTTATCATAGCAGTCAAGCTGCTCCATTTACTGTCACCTCAGATAAACCTGCCAGGCTTGAAACAGATTCCAGCTGAAGCGACATTTGTCCTCTGGTTCAAAAACGTGCTTACCACATTGGATACTGCGACGCATGGAGTTCGTGATGTGTTAAATAAACAAATGGCAAGTGTAAACCAGGCAGTTAGCTGTTTAAATGTTGATTATGCATATTTCAAAGACACCAAGGAGGAAATCCTGTAAGAGAGACGAGTCACACCTGGATGTTCTAAGACAAACTATCAGCTGACTGGTGGAGGCTTTAAGTTTAAGTGACAGAGCCATGAGACCGAGGTAAAATAAAAACGGCTGCTGTCTTTATTGAGTCCACATGAGACAAACACAAAGATTCCTCACCAGAAAGCAACTCAATGCCTTTTATACCAACTGCCAATATTATAAAATATCTTAAATATTTACATAAACCAACACCTCATAACATAGAATACAAAGAATAAATATTTACAAAATTTACAAAATCCTATAAATAATTCAATAACACACAGGTACTTCACATAACTACAAAATCAACACTGCTTCGGCCTCTTCTCCTCTTCCTCATTAGAATGGTCCTACAGCTCTTAAGTTGGTGTTTGGGTGTGTCGTTCTCTTATACCCCCACAACCTGCCTGGGAAACAAGGAAAAGCACAACTAATAAATGTAAGACTGCTAACTGGAAGTAACTGCAAAAAGAGTAGGCTGAAGTCAAAACACAAATTTTAAGCTTGAATTGTGAATGCTATTAATTTAGATTTCCACCCAGGTATGATGGCCAGTCCCCCTCAGCAACACCCGTTCACAACCTGCAGCCCCAACAGTAGAAAATATTTAAAATGTTCAATTATCACAATAAAATATCCTCACAAATATCAGTGTGCAATTATTCATTTAACTTACAATGCTCTGTTTCACTCAACACTGATGTGTCATGGTAATGTAACGGAGCCCTGGTCTCCATTACATAAACACACAGACAAACACGGGAGAAAGATGTGTAGAGAACATCTAAAACCATGAGCAAAGTAGTTTAGGAAATATAAGCTGTAAAAGAAGGAAGAAGGAAAAGGTCCCCTGGGGGAAGTAGCTACTGACTGATGTGTGTCAAATCTAATAAACACTAGTGAATAGTGTTACTGCTCGATGCTACCCCATGTTTTGCAATAGATGTGTGAGGTGGCACTTGTGGAGATGATGACAACAAGGGCACTAAGGGGAAAAACATCCCAGATTTACACTGATGTGACCAGACCCATTGGCTTTATCTTAGGAAACAGTGACGTGACTTCATTCATTGCCATGCACGATGCACCCTGCACTCACCTTGTGTGTTATGTCTAATCCATTAGGCACCAAGTGCACTTGTCATGCTGTGTTCTTATTTTGTATTTAGTTTTAGATTCTGCTATAAAAAATATTTGCTGCTAAATGTATTAAGTTGTTTCCTACAGTGCAACAATGATTTCTCCACAGGGATCAACACCCTTCCTTGCACAGTTTATATCCTTACTGTCCCACTGTCTCCTTGTGCATCTCTATACTAGTCCACACTCAGTGTGCTGTAGGTGCCAGAACAATATAAATACATGCATGCATTCTCTTATATGCTTTCTGAAGACAGTCTATTCCAATAATCAACTGATATAAAAATAATAAGCACAGATGCAATGTATAGTAAACACTGTAAAATATGCAAATAGCAGACATAATGGGACTTAATAACATAGTTGCAGATGAGAAAAAGATCAACAACATGTGCAACTTGAACAGAGTGAAAATACAAGACTTTAACCCATTTGTCAGTAGTTCCAACTGACTCTTTCTTGTAAGCCTGAGGTGTGCTGTGGCATGCATGGTGTGAGAAATCAGGTCCTGGCGATCTGCCAACCCAGTCTTCAAACAAAGAAGTGATGCACTGCCCTTTGGGCTTTTTCTGCTCGTCTTTACACTGACTAGCATGAAAGCTTTGCAGCCACGAAGATTACATGTCTTCTTTTAGACCTTCCTCAGTTTCTGCCAACTGCTACAAAAAACACCAAGCTAGGACCTGGGAGAGATGTGGGTGTGGCAGGTTGATAACAAAATGCTTTGTAACAAACACAGATATGGTGCTAACCATCATTCCCTTTAGGAACATGACCTCCTCTTCCTCTAAATGGCAGTTTATACTGAGAATGTTATTTTATAGGGGTGACAAATTGCAGGTGTCTCTTGTGGCTTTGGGTGAACTGTTCAGGGCAGCGTGCCAGCTTGCTGACTGGGAGCCAGAGCTTTGACTGACTGCTGCACCTGACCGTGCACAATCCTCGAGATCAGCAGCTTTCACCAGCAACCGCCACAGTCTACCAATGAAAATGAGTCTATGCTCAGAATGTCCCTCCCACTTAGCACTCTATTGCAAAGTTGATGACTCTGTAGAAGGTATATCCAACCATCCATTTTTCTTCCTTCTTATGTCTTTTTAAAGAGATGATGAGTGATGTGGTATCTCCCAGCAGGATGACCACACGCAGACCTGCTACCTGGGATTTATAGAGTCATAGGCAGTTGTGCTGGTCATTTTTCTTTAAAACTGTACGGCTGTTTGTCTACAGTTTTCCCTTCTGTCTGTGTTTTTCTCTGTCTCCAGTGACGTTTGATGCTACAGGGAATTCCCTTTGTGGATTATATATTATATTTCGCTGTAAGCTATCTTGGAGACTGTGCAGCTGTTATAAATTGAATTTGATCACTGAGACAAATTTCTGATATTGTAACATCTTTTTTTTATAAATGTAAGTAGAAAAAAAATCTTATTTTGGAACCTACTCTTATCTCAAGAGCAGGCAAGTCTATACACTACCCATAGGGGAAAGAAAATAAGATCTTCACATAAGCACAAGATGAGGCTAGAGTAGAGTTTCTTAAAATAAAAACAAAAACTAGATTTTGGATTAGTTCCACCTAAAAGAAACTCTTGAACAAAGATGAGATACTCTGTCACTTATTTGTTTAGAAGTTCACTATGCACAACTCTGGACTTTACTTTGCTTTTGGGATCCATTAGTGCACTTCAGACACACTGGAACAGTGTAGAAGTCATAGATGTCGTTTTGATTCAGTGTAAAAACAATTCACACAATCTTTAAATATATGTTTCTGTATCAAATCACATGCCATATGTCACTCACGAGGTTCACTCAACAGATTTAGCATGTCAAAGTCAATGTCCTAGTGACAGGATGCAGCACACAGCTTGTGAAAACAGCTGAATCATGTCTTCTGTGGCTGCCGTGTCAAGTTAAGTAACATCACTTGAGTAATATGGGGATTTATGGCCTTTTTTTTTTTTTACCATACTGGAAGCATGGCTCTATGGATGGCAAAGCTAGTCTGTCTGTTCGCCACTTTAGACTAATACTTTTGGTGATCCCTTAACCTTTCATCTAGTATCATTTTTTGGTCAAAAATGTCAGTTTCCCAATATTGTCACTTTGTTTAATCAATTATGCCTTCTTGTTATCAACAATGCATTGTCACTGTGACCCTGATGGCATGCTGATGTTAGCATACAGCTCAAAGCATCGTGCCTGAGAACAGTGACACAGAGCTTCTAGCACAGCTGCGGGAGGTCTGTCACACACCAAACCTACAGTCGGCCATTGGACACTGTCGGGCTGTCATTGAATGTCTGTCGCCTTATTTTTTGCAGTGTGTCCCATGTTCTCACTAGTTGGACCCTGATGATGGCTTTTCAGCTGATTCAGCATGTTGAATAGACCCTGTCAGTGAGAGGGACCACTCTGATTGGCTGTTCAACTTAGCAAATCAATGCAGAAGAGGAGAAAGGTTCAGGAAAACCCCTTCAGGCTGTTGCTTCAGTATTCATGATTTCACCCATTTAGTGCAGTTTCTCCTTTTTTTTTATTTTTTTTATCCCTTCTGTGTTTTACTTTTTCTCCCCAACCAAAAGACAAAAGGCTGAAAACACCAGCACCATATGCAACTTCTTATCAAACATATTCTCAACTAGAAACAGCTATTAACTGTCTGTGGTGAGTGAGAGCTGCTGCTGGTATGGGGAGGTGCAGAATCTATGTGCTAGCTGACCATGGCTGCAATCTGTACAGTGGGTTCAAGTGCCACTTTTTGGCCCAGAGGAAGACAACCTGAGGCAACGCAACAGTCAGACCTTCGTTGTTGCCGGTTCTTTAATATTGGCTTTATATGTCTTTGCCCTTAGTCTTGCTAATCATTCTCTCACCAGTCCATCAACTTTATAAATATAAAAGGTCAGTGGAGTCCATCATAATCAACAAGTCAACATCAAGTACAACATGTATGAATGTTGTCGTCCTGTTAGGACCAACCCACGGCACTGCCTGGCAGAGACTCACTGCTGTACATGGAATATGATTTTTGATTTATCTTCTGAACCACCACGCTTACACTCTCACCGTCACACACATACAGCATGTTGTGCACTCAGAAACACACACACGGTCACTCTTGCTTAAAAGCATGCACACACTCTGTAGTATCTTGTACTTGAATGATGTCTTGAGCCTAGCTGTGTGTAATGCATAAACCAGAGATGTTCAGTCTGGCTTGCATGCAAATTGTCTGTGGGGCATTTCTCCATGCAACGTTCCCGACTGGACCACCCATGGTGAGGAGAGGGTGCAGTTGTCTCCATTTCAATAAAGCATGTCATTATCTCCTCGCCTGTGATGTACCACTACACTACTGAAAAATAAATGCTGTAAAAACATCTAAGACATCTCTAAGGAAATGGCTGATATCAGTAACATTACTGGATACACACTTAAGTGTTTGGAAATTGTGGTGATGCATTATTGAGAGCTTGTTTCTCGCTAATTTTAGGATACATTTAGATTAGACCTCTTCTCTGCTAGAGTTGGTCCTGTTGCTTTTGCAGGCACAGGGAGAATTTAGGGGTAATGCATGATTGGAAGTAGGTGATGCTTGATGCTAGAAAAGCCGCTTCTGAGCGTGAGCAGATTTCTCTTCTCCTTTGACCAAATCCCCTTTGGCTATGGGTTTGCCCTTGTGCCAAGGCCTGCAGAGAAGGACCTGAGCTAAAACAACAACTGGGCTGCTTGATGAAAGGGGTGAGCAGTGGCGGTTGGGGAGGGGCACATCATGAACCCAGGGTCATCCCACAGCCATGATCACTCTATCCCCAGTTCTCCTTTTGCTGGCACATAGTATACAGCACCAAAGCATAAACTGCACCACAAGGTGCTGATGTTCTTTTAACACTGCTGAGCTAAACTGAGCATAAATGTTGGGAGCTGGGCTCTACTACACTCACTAGACACGTGCACACCCTGTACATATTGTTGTATAGCTGGTTGAACAGTGGAGGAAAGCAATATTTTCATACAGAATAGCTGCTGGTGAAAGCTGTGGAAAATACAGCAAGTTAAATCATTAAGGAAAGCTTTTTCTTGTGTAAGCCAAATGTATGTGTGTGTCTCTGTTCATGTGTACTCTGGTGAACTCGGGGCTGCAAGCTGCTTCAGAAGTTGTGGAAATCTCGTTTGTCTCGTTTTTCATTTGTGACATATGCCAAAAGGCAAGACGGATGTGAGCTCCCACCAGTTCAGCTGACCCAGAACTTAACTGTCAAATGTGAAAATCTGAATGGGTTGGGTGATGGAAGGTTTTTTTGCCTCACGCATACTGTATGGCATGAATGTGGTTGTCTTCAATGCAGACAGAGCATGTGTATGTGCAAGTTTTAGGATTACGGGTGAGGGGGGTTCTTAGTTGAGACAGAGATAGAACAGGTCACTGTGTTGTAATGTTTGAAGCGGTGGCAGAGGAAAGAACGCATAAGATGATGTAAAGTGACCACCC